TACAGACTTTTCAGAATTCTTACAGCTTGTAAGAAATAAATACGTAAATAGTTACCCAGTGAGATATTACTTCATGTTGTTGCAATTAGGTTCTGAGTGTTATGCAGAGAGGTGATCCTTCAGGCAATTCCGCCTCAGCCAGGAGTGAAAACTACACATGAACCCCACGCAACAAATCTACCACCTCTGGCTTCCAACCTGACTTGGGCAGATTTTCCAGGTGGAGGATTTTATGTAAACTGAAGTTGGGGAAGGAGGAATCTACACATATCCACAATTTCCTAAAGGATTTTCTCCATGGCTTGGGAGGGATGTTCAAAACAGGCATTGAAGTGGAGGCTGGGGAGGGGTTACTTTTGGTGGATCGCACCCCTGGTGGGGTTTCGGGACTGAGGTCCCCAAGACTCTGGAGCTGCTGTGTCTGCCCCTCACAGCACTGCTCCCACGGCTGCACATGGTGCGATGCATCACAGCCACCACGTACCTGGGACTTTGCCCGTCCTCAGTACGTGACAGGAGTTGTCTGCAGGCCTCCTAACACTGAGGTGGCCGCGCTCACAGCTTCTGCATGGGGAACCCTGAAGCTTGTGGAGGTTAATTTGCCCGGGGCCCTCGGGGCAGCGGGTTCAGAGGCCTGGCTCCAGTCCCGCCCACCTCCCACTGGCCTGTGACTTCAAGAGACCCCCTTTCTAGTCCTCTTCAGCAGCATCTGGGGCACTTACTAGATCCTGGCGTGCAGACTAGCTTTTCTTCCCTCCACGATGGCACCTCGAGCAGCCCTCACCCTACCCTATTTTAACACGGCTACTCATTTCCAGGGCAATCTGAGAAGGGCTTCCCTAGAGCAAGGCCTCTTAATCAGAGCCGCTTCGGGGCATGAAGAGGACTTGCGCCACAGTGCCCAGTGCACTAGTGTCCTTTAGGGACTTTTCAAACACACCCTAGCACGAGGCTCTGCCCACAGCCGTCTACAATACTTATGGTCCAAGCAGTATGATGCTCCCAGATGAAAAGCCATCCCTCTGAGAACCGTACTTCCTTTCAGGCCATGAGGGTGCCATTTCGGGCTCTGTTAGCTTGGTGAATGTCAAACACTGATTGTAATAATCATCCGGTAGTGTTTCCATTACACCTTTGGCCTGGATGAAAATGTCTTTATTTTCTCCTAAGCCAATTGGATGGATTCAGCCAAAAAGTCCCTGCTGCCCTCACCAACACCCCAAAGTACGAACCAATCCTGGGCCCACTGCTACTCCCTGGAGTGAAACCCACTAATTATTCAGCCAGAGGAGGGGGCTGGCCTCCAAAGGACTGCTGTCTGGCACCACTGCCCCTGTCAGTGATTACCGCTGTGAGCTCAGGGAGCGGGATTTTTTGAGAAGACAAACTTTTATTACTTCGGCCAATTCCTGCTCTCGGCCCAGCCTGGCCATGCTGTGCTCACTTCCTGTCACTCCCCTCCTTTTATACATTCACTCCTTTTCCCCCTTCTCTTTTGCTTTCCAAAAAGAAAATAAATATTCCAGTGTGCTCCCTTCTCCCTCTTCTGCTGCCGTTGGACCCTTCTTTTCTCTCCACATTCCCAAATGCCTGCACTCGCTTTCCCTCCCCTCTCCCTCCCAACCTATTTCCCATTAATCATTTCTAACACACATCTGCTTGGGTCCTAGTAAGACTTCTTGGCTCACGCTCCCAGCTGGGCTAGTTACAATAATCACAGAGTCTTTCATCTTTTCCTGTCTCCTGACCTCCTCTTTCCCCGCTCTTCCTCCTCGAGATGGCTGCAAAGGCCAGCCCCACTGCACTGCCTCAGTCTGCAGTCTCTGGCTACAGGCAGGGGCCAAAAGGCCAAATGACCTTGAAGGCTGAAGCAGCCCTGCAGGTGGTGTTGGCCATGACAATAAGGGTCAGAGCGCACCACAGAGGTCAGCAGAAGAGAGCCCAAGGGAGTTGACAGGTAGAACCCACCCCAGTGAAGTAAATGGGACCGGACACCTCCCAGTTAGGCATCCCTTGCCATGTCTTTGAACCCGATTTTACCAGGCTTGAAACGGGAAAAGGAAGCCTGTGTAATTTCTGAGAGGCCTATACAAACCGCCCCAAACAGTACACAGCTAGGAAGTATGTTTAATGTAGTTATGGCCTAGGAGTGCTGCCTGACATCTTCTCTACCGAGCACTGGTAGAGGGCATCATTGTTATAATCGTGGTAATTTCTTCCCTTTGAAGAACCCCTTCGAAAGCTCCGATCCGTCTTGGCCATGTGTCGTCTCAAGGTGCTGGTCAGCACCCAGAGCCTCCAGAGCCTCCGTAGTCCAGGAGCAACAGGCCTCCGGGGCCAGGCCTGACAATCAACTGACAATCAGGGCTTGGGAAAGTGGTCCTCCAGAGGACACAGTGACCCCCGGGCGCCTCTACTGGCCAAGGACAGCACGGGGAAGTGGTCACTCCGAAGGCAGCGCACGAAGGACCAGCCTGGCCTTTGGAGCAGGGATAAGGAACTTTAATGCCAGGACGGTGACTAGGTAACATCTCTCCAAGTGCAAAGGTAGCTGCACACTTTACCCCACAAGCTTGGGAGTCCCGAGAGCATTATGTTAATCTAGAAATTTCCCTAGGAAAAACTAGTGTTTGGGCGAAAGATGGGTTTGTGTGGTCCTGCCGCGCTTAGACAGCTGCACCCCTCCTGCCTCCGAGTTACTGGCCTCTCCTGTGACTCAGGCCCCTCCAAAGCTTTAGCGGCGGGCGCGGCACAGCAGGGCACTGGACGCCTTTAGCCGGAGCGACCACGAACCTGGAGCGCACCCCAACGCCAACCTACACTGAGCGCGGGCGGCGCTGCGGTCCTGGCGCATCCGGGCGCCGCGCTTCCTCGAGACCGTCTCACCCCGAGAGGCAGTTCTCGAATTTTCAGCCTTCAGACCGGACAGGCTCAAAGTAGCCGGAGCGACTCACGCCGCGCCCCGACCACAGTAGCTGCCTCCGGGGCTCGGGCTCGAGGGTAAACACGCCCGAAGAGGCCGACTGGAGAGCTGGGTGCCCGGCGCCACGCATGTTTCCACTGCCAAGATGGGATTTATCACATCCGACAGGACTGGTCCTTGTCTGACTGGGTTGTCCTTCAGTCTGGACAAAATGCTCTGCTTCAGGCCCTCTTGCAGCCACTGACACAGTAATG